GCAAGGAATTTCAAAAGTAATGTCAGCAAGAAATATATCTGAAGAATACTGGCAGAATAGACAGTACAAAAAACGTACAAAATAATTAATAGAGTATTAACATGTAGTCCTTTTACTACATTGCTAGCAGTGATAATCACAAACATACAATCCACAAAAATTCAACAAATAGTTTATTTCTTGAAACAAAAATAAAATTTAATGTCAAAATTCTTGGTTTATCGATATATTTTATCGATGTTTTCATTAAGTGATTAATTTGATTTATGTAAAAAGTACTGACTTTGATAGATCTAACCGTCTCTTTCTTCGTTTTACACTAACACAATATCGCACAACAGTTTGTGCTTCTGGGCTGTTGGTTTAGAAGTACATTATTTAATATTTAAGCTGAATCATTATGGTACAGTGCCCAAATCCGGAAATAGGTCATTCTGTTAGGTGCATAGGTTTAAAAAGGTGACTCATAGAAGTTTTACGGTCATTGTGGTACCTCCTTGTGTTCAACCGTCTTTACTTCACTGTATTATTAGTTTTTTCGTGTTCATATGCTCATATTGAATGCATTGAGGTGCAACTTTACTAATGACAAGAGTGCTGAATATTAGAAACTTATGATTATTACATTTCTTTAGTTTTAAATTTATTTTCCCCTGTACTCAAATATTCATATTATAGTAAGTTTGATTTTTAGATTATCTCCAAGAGAACAAAATGGAAATTGTGGAGACACAAATTGAACATTCATCTCACGATGGAAATTATATGAATACAAAGTCTAAAGGAAAAACATTAACTGAAAATATGAATGTGGTAACTGGAAAACCTTGCAAATGTGAAATTTGTTTTAAACAATTTATTAAAGCAAGTGATTTAAAAACACATTTGAGAGTGCACACCGGACAAACACCTCACAAGTGTGAAATTTGTCTTAGACAATTTTCTCTAAGAAGTACTTTGAAAAACCATTTGAGAGTGCACACTGGGGAAAAACCTCACAAGTGTGAAATTTGCCTTAAGCAGTTTACTACAGCAGGTAATTTGAAAATACATTTGAGAGTGCACACTGGAGAAAAACCTCACAAGTGTGAAATTTGTCTTAAAGAATTTTCTGAAAGAAGTACTTTGAAAAAACATTTGAGAGTACACACTGGGGAAAAACCACACAAGTGTGAAATTTGTTTTAAGCAGTTTACTAGAGCAGGTAGTTTAAAAATACATTTGAGAGTGCACACTGGAGAAAAACCTCACAAGTGTAAAATTTGTTTTAAACAGTTTGCTCAAACGCATCATTTAAAACAACATTTAAGATTACACGTTGGAGAAAAACTACAAAACCTTTACGAATGTAAAATTTGTTTTAAGCAGTTTACTACAGCAGGTAGTTTGAAAATACATTTGAGAGTGCACACTGGAGAAAAACCTTACAAGTGTGAAATTTGTTTTAAACAGTTTGCTCGAACGCATCATTTAAAACAACATTTAAGTTTACACGCTGGAGAAAAACTTTACGAATGTAAAATTTGTTTTAAGCAGTGTAGCGAAAAAAGTAATTTGAAAAAACACCTGAGAGTTCACACTGGGGAAAAACATCATAAGTGTGAAATTTGTTTTAAACAATTTATTCAAGCAAGTGATTTGAAAATACATTTGAGAGTGCATTCCGGAGAAAAACCTCACAAGTGTGAAATTTGTTTTAAGCAGTTTATTAGAGTAAGTAGTTTGAAAATACATTTGAGAGTGCACACTGGAGAAAAACCGTACAAGTGTGAAATTTGTTTTGAGCAGTTTGCTCAAACGAATCATTTAAAACGACATTTAAGATTACACGCTGGAGAAAAACTTACGAATGTAAAATTTGTTTTAAGCAGTGTAGCGAAAAAAGTAATTTGAAATAACATCTGAGTGTTCACACTGGGGAAAAACCTCATAAGTGTGAAATTTGTTTTAAACAATTTATTCAAGCAAGTGATTTGAAAACCCATTTGAGAGTGCATTCCGGAGAAAAACCTCAGAAGTGTGAAATTTGTTTTAAGCAGTTTACTACAGCAAGTAGTTTAAAAATACGTTTGAGATTGCACACTGAAGAAAAATATTACAAGTGTGTAATTTGTTTTAAGCAGTTTGCTCGAATTGATTATTTAAAACATTTGGGTGTGGACTTGGGAGAAAAATGTTATTAATGTAAAATTTGCTTTAATCACTTTAGTGACAAGTAATTTGAACAAACATCTGAGTGTTCACACTGTAGAAAAACCGCATAAGTATTCAATTTTTTTTTTAAGCAGTTTAGTGTAGCAGGTTCTTTGAACAGACATTTGAGAATGCAGATTGGATAAAAACCGTACAAGTGTAAAATTTGTTTGAAGCAGTTTGCTCGAACGAATCATTTAAAACGCAGAATTATAACTTTATTACAAACATGTTTTGTGTTTATTTGTAGCAGAAGTTGAGTACTTTGAAAAACCTACTAGTGTAATTGAAAAAGAGCAGTTTTAAACGTTTTAAATCGTTTATAATGTGAAACTTTAAATTAAGCGTTTTTAAACATATTTTTAAGTATATTTTAGTTATATTTTAAACATATATTTTTATAAAAATTAAGTTTATTTGCGACAAAATACAGAAACTGCATACGAAAGCTGCACTCTTTACCTTTAAAACGCATCTTGAGTTTTGTTAATAGGACACTCGGATAAAAAAATATCCAATTTTTACCGTCGAGCTGATACAAATTTTATTGAACATTGATTTCGCATATGTAACTGACATTTAAAATCGCCGATCGCTTCAATCGCTGTTTCTGAGAGAATGATTCATTCTACACAAAAAATGCTAATAAACATTTTTGTTCAAAACTATCTTAGCTACATTTTTTATTTCAACATTTTTTATGGCGTACAAATTCTTTTTTTGTTTTTCGTTTTCCTCCCTCTAGGAGGGGACTTTTAGAGGAAACCCCAGGCATAAAAGTAGTAAACTTTCGTGCATCTTTTTTGATGTCCCAAAATTAATATTTTCAGCAAAATTCAGCTTGTTCGTATGATTTTCAGAGGTTCAGTAGCATTTTCGTCTCTGCCGACTGGAGTATCCTCTCTATTGCATCTTTAGGATATAAATATTTTGCTGAAATTGGATATTTAATTTCGACAATAAATTATTATCTATGAGTTTATCAGGTGTTGCAGCTAAAAAAGGATATTCCCGATGAACATGCATTCCTAATGGCAAATATCTAAAGCAAGCATTACACTTAATTCTTGTATTGTAATGGAATATTTTTCTATTTATTCCATATACCGTGAGTTTATTTCCTTTAAAAGCATTTAAAATAATATCTTTGGCAACCTTTCTTTTGCCGATTGTTGCATTTAATTTACAAATCCGTCCAAAATTCGAGGCTGTCAGATGTTTACTTCTTTCTGAATACCATTCACTTAAATAGTGTTGAGTTGTTATGTTATTAAATAATTTAATAAATTCCTTGTTATTTTTATGAAGTTCCGATAGACATTTTTCTTTAGTTTTATCTAATTCATCATGATCAATTTCTAACGTTTTTTGTGCTCATGACCCATAATCTAATCTTTTAATCTAATCTGAAGCATGTTTTTTTGTTATATTTTTGCAACTTTTTGTAATCTAATTTTCTTCGCAATGTATTTTTGGTGCGTTTCGAAAAAAAAAATCTATGTACTTTACTTTATGTCGTTTCTCAAAGCACCTTTAACATTTTTACATCTCTTTTGTTTTTTTCGTTTTAAGTTCTGTTTTGAATAATTTGTAGTTAGTAAAAGGTACAAAATAATTAATAGTGTACCGTTTTTAAATAAAACGAGCGGTTCGAATTTATATAAATATATTTATTTATAACTTTACAGTTCGGTATTCTCTTATCAACTAAAACTTACTCCTAAGGTCGTTACATATATATACCTAAGTTACTATGTTCTAGAAAGTTCCCACCTCTAATAATTCGCGCACGTGACCGATTGTTCTCTTGCCTTCGAGAGATCTGGTGATGATTCTGGAAGCCGTTTCAAGATGCAACCGTTATATGAGTCATGCCGAAAGCATGTTCGTAACAATAGTGTAGACGTTTTACCACATTTCTAGCAGTGATATCCACAAACATACAATCCACAAAAATCCAACAAATAGTTTATTTCTTTAAACGAAAACAAAATTTAATGTCAAAATTCTTGGTTTATCAATAGGTTTTATGGATCATATTTTCACTTTAAATTTATAATTAATTTGAAAAATACAAAAGTAATTAATTTGATGTATGTAAAAAGTACTTACTTTAACAGATTTATCCGTGTATTTCTTCGTTTTACACTAACGCATTTCTTGTAACAACGTCCCTTATTTTAATTTATGTAAATAAAGAAATAAATAAGGTCTTTATAAATTAATTGAGCAATAACAACTTTACAACGCAGCTCTTCACAGATATGCACGTGCTAAGCTGATTCTAGATAAACTATATATTGACAATTTAAAGCTTCCATTCCTTGACGGTAACTCTTAACCTTGATTTGAAGATATGCATTTGTTAAACTGCCAGTTGCAAACAAATACTTTAGTTTTCTAGTAAGAACTCCCAATTCCTGTATTAATATCGCATAATAGTTTGTACTTATGGGCTGTTGGTTTAGTAAATTATTTAATATTTAAATTGAATCATTATGGTACAGTGCCCAAATCCGGAAATAGGTCATTCTTTTAGGTCCATAGGTTTAAAAAGGTGACTCATAGAAGTTTCACGGTCATTGTAGTACCTCCTTGTGTTCAACCGTCTTTACTTAACTGTATTATTGGTTTTTTCGTGTTCATATCCTCATATTGAATGCATTGCGGTGCAACTTTTCTAATGACAAGAGTGCTGACTATTATACATATAGAAGACAGAAACTTATGATTATTACATTTCTTTAGTTTTAAATTCATTTTACCCTGTACTCAAATATTCATATTATAGTAAGTTTGATTTTTAGATTATCTCCAAGAGAACAAAATGAAAATTATGGAGACACAAATTGAACATTCATCTCACGAAGGAAATTATATGAATACAAATCCTAAAGGAAAAACATTAACTGAAGATATGAATGTGATAACTGGAAAACCTTGGAAATGTGAAATTTGTCTTAAACAATTTATTAAAGCAAGTGATTTGAAAACACATTTGAGAGTGCACACCGAAGAAAAACCTCACAAGTGTGAAATTTGTCTTAAACAATTTTCTCTAAGAAGTACTTTGAAAAAACATATGAGAGTGCACACTGGGGAAAAACCTCACAAGTGTGAAATTTGTTTTAAGCAGTTTACTACAGCAGATAGTTTGAAAATACATTTGAGAGTGCACACCGGAGAAAAACCGCACAAGTGTGAAATTTGTCTTAAACAGTTTTCTCTAAGAAGTACTTTGAAAAAACATTTGAGAGTGCACACTGGGGAAAAACCTCACAAGTGTGAAATTTGTTTTAAACAATTTATTAAAGCAAGTGATTTGAAAACACATTTGAGAGTGCACACCGGAGAAAAACCTCACAAGTGTGAAATTTGTCTTAAACAATTTTCTGAAAGAAGTACTTTGAAAAAACATTTGAGATTGCACACCGGAGAAAAACCTCACAAGTGTGAAATTTGTCTTAAACAATTTTCTCTAAGAAGTACTTTGAAAAAACATTTGAGAGTGCACACCGGAGAAAAACCTCACAAGTGTGAAATTTGTCTTAAACAATTTTCTGAAAGAAGTACTTTGAAAAAACATTTGATATTGCACACCGGAGAAAAACCTCACAAGTGTGAAATTTGTCTTAAAGAATTTTCTAAAAGAAGTACTTTGAAAAAACATTTGAGAGTACACACTGGGGAAAAACCTCACAAGTGTGAAATTTGTTTTAAGCAGTGTAGCGACAAAAGTAATTTGAAAAGACATTTGAGAATGCACACTGGGGATAATAAACCTCATAAGTGTGAAATTTGTTTTAAGCAGTGTAGCGACAAAAGTAATTTGAAAAGACATTTGAGAATGCACACTGGGGATAAACCTCATAAGTGTGAAATTTGTTTTAAACAATTTATTCAAGCAAGTAGTTTGAAAATACATTTGAGAGTGCATTCCGGAGAAAAACCTCACAAGTGTGAAATTTGTTTTAAGCAGTTTATTACAGTAAATAGTTTGAAAATACATTTGAGAGTGCACACCGGAGAAAAACCTCACAAGTGTGAAATTTGTCTTAAACAATTTTCTGTAAAAAGTACTTTGAAAACACATTTGAGAGTACACACTGGGGAAAAACCTCACAAGTGTGAAATTTGTTTTAAGCAGTTTACTACAGCAGGTAGTTTGAAAAGACATTTGAGAGTGCACACTGGAGAAAACCCACACAAGTGTGAAATTTTCTCTAAGATGTACTTTGAAAAAACATTTGCGAGTGCACACTGGGGAAAAACCACACAAGTGTGAAATTTGTTTTAAGCAGTTTACTGCAGGAAGTAGTTTGAAAATGGATTTGAGACTGCACACTGGACAAAAACCTCATAAGTGTGAAATTTGTTTTAAAGAATATATTCAAGCAAGTGATTTGAAAACACATTTGAGAGTGCATTCCGGAGACAAACCTTATAAGTGTGAAATTTGTTTTATGCAGTTTATTACAGTAAGTCGTTTGAAAACACATTTGAGAGTGCACACCGGACAAACACCTCACAAGTGTGAAATTTGTCTTAGACAATTTTCTCTAAGAAGTTCTTTGAAAAAACGTTTGAGAGTACACACTGGGGAAAAACCTCACAAGTGTGAAATTTGTTTTAAACAATTTATTCAAGCAAGTGATTTGAAAACACATTTGAGAGTGCATTCTGGAGAAAAACCTGACAAGTGTGAAATTTATTTTAATCAGTTTACTACGGCAAGTAGTTTGAAAATACATTTGAGATTGCACACTGAAGAAAAATGTTACAAGTGTGTAATTTGTTTTAAGTAGTTTGGTCGAATTATTGTAGGAGAAAAATGTTATTAATGTAAAATTTGCTTGAATCAGTTTAGTGACAAAAGTAATTTAAACACACATCTGAGTGTTCACACTGTGGAAAAACCGCACAAGTATTAAATGTTTTAAAGCAGTTTAGTGCAGCAGGTTAATTAAACAGACATTTGAGAATGTAGATTGGATAAAAACCATACAAGTGTGAAATTTGTTGTAAGCAGCTTATTCGAATGGAACTTTACGAATGTAAAATTGTTTGAAGTAGTTAAGTGAAGCAAGTAATTTAAAAACACATTTGATAGTGCAAACTGAAGAAAAACCAAACAAGTGTGAAATTTGTTTTTAGCAGTTTGCTCGGACGAATCGTTTAAAACGCAGAATTATAACCGTTACATTACAAACATGTTTTGGGTTTATTTGTACAAAAGTTGAATACTTTGAAAAACCTACTAGTGTAATTGAAAATGAGCAGTTTTAAACGTTTTAGATCGTTTGTAATGTGAAAGTTTAAATCAAGCGTTTTTAAACATATTTCAAATGCCTCATTTCTGTTGCCAAAACTTACAACAAGAATTTCATGTTTTGAAACATACAACGTTTTGAAGATTTGGTTTTAGTTATCGAAATTCCGTAGTGGCCGGTCAATAAAAGGGAAAAATCGTATTGATTTCATGAGAATACTAAAAATGGCAAAAATCGCGCCATGTTTATTTAGTTACCATTTTTGTAAAAATTTAGTTAATTTGCAGAAATATACAGAAACTGCATACAAAAGCTGCACTCTACCTTTAAAACGCATCTTGAGTTTTGTCAACAGGACACTCAGATCAAAAGATCCAATTTTTACCGTCGAGCTGATACAAATTTTATTGAACTGATTTCTCGCGTAGAACTGATATTCAAAATCGTCAATCGCTTCAACCACTGTTTAGGAGAGAATGATTAATTCTACACAAAAAACGCTAATAACTATTTTTATTCAAAATTATCTTTTGCAGCATTTGTTTTTAAACATTTTTTTCTATGTCGTACAAATTCTTGTTAAATCGTTTTTCTTTTTTTTTTTCGTTTTCCCTCCCTAGGATGGGACTTTTAGAGGAAATCCCAGGGGTAAAAGTGGTACAGTTTCTTACATCTTTTTTAATGTCCCAAAATTAAGATTCTCAGCAAAATTCAGCTTGTTCGTATGATTTTTAGCTGTTCAGTGTATCCTCTCTATTGCATCTTTAGGACGTAATATTTTGCTGAAATTGGACATTTAATTTCGACAATAAATTATTACCTATTATATATTTTCACTTTAAGTTTATAATTAATTTAAAAAATACAAAAGTAATTATTGGATTTATGTAAAAAGTACTTATTTTAATAGGTTTAACCATCTATTTCTTCGTTTTACACTAACACATTTCTTGTAACAACGTCCCTTATTTTAATTTATGTAAATAAAGAAATAAATAAAGTCTTTATAAATTAATTGAGCAATAACAACTTTACAACGCAGCTCTTCACAGATATGCACGTGCTAAGCTGATTCGGGATAAACTATATATTGACAATTTAAAGCTTCCATTCCTTGACGGTAACTCTTAACCTTGATTTGAAGATATGCATTTGAAAAACTGCCAGTTGCAAACAAATACCTTTTTCTAGTAAGAACTCCCAATTCCTGTATCAATATCGCATAACAGTTTGTACTTATGGGCTGTTGGTTTAGTAAATTATTTAATATTTAACCTGGATCATTATGGTACAGTGCCCAAATCCGGAAATAGGTCATTCTTTTAGGTCCATAGGTCTAAAAAGGTGACTCATAGAAGTTTTACGGTCATTGTGGTACCTCCTTGTGTTCAACCGTCTTTACTTAACTGTATTATTGGTCTTTTCGTGTTCATATCCTCATATTGAATGCATTGCGGTGCAACTTTACTAATGACAAGAGTGCTGACTATTATACATATAGAAGACAGAAACTTATGATTATTACATTTCTTTAGTTTTAAATTCATTTTCCCCTGTACTCAAATATTCATATTATTGTAAGTTTGATTTTTTATTATCTCCAAGAGAACAAAATGGAAATTATGGAGACACAAATTGAACATTCATCTCACGAAGGAAATTATATGAATGCAAATTCTCTAAGAAAGATTCTCTTTGAAAAAACATTTGAGAGTGCACACCGGAGAAAAACCTCACAAGTGTGAAATTTGTCTTAAACAATTTTCTGTAAAAAGTACTTTGAAAACACATTTGAGAGTACACACTGGGGAAAAACCTCACAAGTGTGAAATTTGTTTTAAGCAGTTTACTACAGCAGGTAGTTTAAAAATACATTTGAGATTGCACACTGGGGAAAAACCTCACAAGTGTGAAATTTGTTTTAAACAATTTATTAACGCAAGTGATTTGAAAACACATTTGAGAGTGCACACCGGAGAAAAACCTCACAAGTGTGAAATTTGTCTTAAACAATTTTCTGTAAAAAGTACTTTGAAAACACATTTGAGAGTACACACTGGGGAAAAACCTCACAAGTGTGAAATTTGTTTTAAGCAGTTTACTACAGCAGGTAGTTTGAAAATACATTTGAGATTGCACACTGGGGAAAAACCTCACAAGTGTGAAATTTGTTTTAAACAATTTATTAACGCAAGTGATTTGAAAACACATTTGAGAGTGCACACCGGAGAAAAACCTCACAAGTGTGAAATTTGTCTTAAAGAATTTTCTGAAAGAAGTACTTTGAAAAAACATTTGAGAGTACACACTGGGGAAAAACCTCACAAGTGTGAAATTTGTTTTAAGCAGTGTAGCGAAAAAAGTAATTTCAAAAAACATTTGAGAGTGCACACCGGAGAAAAACCTCACAAGTGTGAAATTTGTCTTAAACAATTTTCTGAAAGAAGTACTTTAAAAAAACATTTGAGAGTACACACTGGGGATAAACCTCACAAGTGTGAAATTTGTTTTAAGCAGTTTACTACAGCAGGTAGTTTGAAAATACATTTGAAAGTGCATTCCGGAGAAAAACCTCACAAGTGTGAAATTTGTCTTAAACAATTTTCTGAAAGAAGTACTTTGAAAAAACATTTGAGAGTACACACTGGGGAAAAACCTCACAAGTGTGAAATTTGTTTTTAGCAGTGTAGCGACAAAAGTAATTTGAAAAGACATTTGAGAATGCACACTGGGGATAAACCTCATAAGTGTGAAATTTGTTTTAAACAATTTATTCAAGCAAGTAGTTTGAAAATACATTTGAAAGTGCATTCCGGAGAAAAACCTCACAAGTGTGAAATTTGTTTTATGCAGTTTATTACAGTAAGTAGTTTGAAAATACATTTGAGAGTGCACACCGGAGAAAAACCTCACAAGTGTGAAATTTGTCTTAAACAATTTTCTGTAAAAAGTACTTTGAAAAAACATTTGAGAGTACACACTGGGGAAAAACCTCACAAGTGTGAAATTTGTTTTAAGCAGTTTACTACAGCAGGTAGTTTGAAAATACATTTGAGAGTGCACACTGGAGAAAGCCCACACAAGTGTGAAATTTTCTCTAAGATGTACTTTGAAAAAACATTTGCGAGTGCACACTGGGGAAAAACCTCACAAGTGTGCATTTTGTTTTAAGCAGTTTACTGCAGGAAGTAGTTTGAAAATGCATTTGAGACTGCACACTGGGCAAAAACCTCATAAGTGTGAAATTTGTTTTAAACAATATATTCAAGCAAGTGATTTGAAAACACATTTGAGAGTGCCTTCCGGAGACAAACCTTATAAGTGTGAAATTTGTTTTAAGCAGTTTGATCGAACGAATTATTTTAAAACAACAAAAAGTAATTTGAGAAACATCTGAGAGTGCACACTGTGAAAAACCTCATAAGTGTGAAATTTGTTTTAAACAATTCATTCAAGCAAGTGATTTGAAAACACATTTGAGAGTGCATTCCGGAGAAAAACCTCACAAGTGTGAAATAGTAGCAGAGTTTATTGATGAGACTTACACTATGGGTGTTGACCCGAGATTACTTTGAGGAGAGACTGTTGATCGCTGAAGACTATCAAGTTTGTTGAGTGAATATTGAATGCTTCTCTAGGCAAAAGATGTTAGTTTTATATAAGTTTTAATTGGGTCAATATAGTCGAGGGCCTCGAGTGATATGTGTGTATAATTTATGTAAATTGTTTAACTTTGTCAGCACTTTTGACTGATGTCTAAATTATATTGTTGATAATTGACCAAATCCGTATGTAACCTAATTAACTACGTATGTGTATTTAATAACAAATAAATTCATTCGGTCTACTGGGTGATAAAATTATACTGTCCAATTTCGGATATGAATTCTGAAGATTTGATATTGGACAAGTAGTTTGAAAATACATTTGAGATTGCACACTGAAGAAAAATGTTACAAGTGTGTAATTTGTTTTAAGTAGTTTGCTCGAATTGATTATTTAAAACGACATTTGGGTGTCCACTTGGGAGAAAAATGTTATTAATGTAAAATTTGCTTGAATCAGTTTAGTGAAAAAAGTAATTTAAACACACATCTGAGTGTCCACACTGTGGAAAAACCGCACAAGTATTAAATGTTATAAAGCAGTTTAGTGTAGCAGGTTAATTGAACAGACATTTGAGAACGCAGATTGGATAAAAACCATACAAGTGTGAAATTTGTTGTAAGCAGCTTATTCGAATGGAACTTTACGAATGTAAAATTGTTTGAAGTAGTTAAATGAAGCAAGTAATTTAAAAACACATTTGATAGTCCACACTGAAGAAAAACCAAACAAGTGTGAAATTTGTTTTAAGCAGTTTGCTCTAACGAATCATTTGAAACGCAGAATTATAACTTTTACATTACAAACATGTTTTGGGTTTATTTGTACAAAAGTTGAGTACTTTGAAAAACCTTCTAGTGTAATTGAAAATGAGCAGTTTTAGATCGTTTGTAATGTGAAAGTTTAAATTAAGCGTTTTTAAACATATTTCAAATGGCTCATTTTTGTTGCCAAAACTTACAACACAAATTTCATGCTAAACGTTTTGAAGATTTGGTTTTAGTTATCGAAATTCGGTAGTGGCCGGTCAATAAAAGGGAAAATCGTATTGATTTCATGAGAATAATAAAAATGGCAAAAATCGCGCCATGTTTATTTAGTTAACATTTTTATAAAAATTGAGTTTATTTGCGGAAAAATACAGAAACTCCATACGAAAGCTGCACTCTTTACCTTTAAAACGCATCTTGAGTTTTGTCAATAGGACACTCGGATCAAAAGATATCCAATTTTGACCGTTGAGCTGATACAAATTTTATTGAACATTGATTTCTCGCGTAGAACTGATATTCAAAATCTTCGATCGCTTCAACCGCTGTTTAGGAAAGAATGATTAATTCTACACAAAAAACACTAATAACTATTTTTATTCAAAATTATCATTTGCAGTATTTTTTTTGAAACATTTTTTTCTATGTCGTACAAATTCTTGTTAAATCTTTTTTTTTTTTTCGTTTTCACTCCCTAGGAGGGGACTTTTAGAGGAAACCTCAAGGGGTCAACGTGGTACAGTTTCTTGCATCTTTTTTAATGTCCCAAAATTAATATTCTCAGCAAAATTCAGCTTGTTCGTATGATTTTTAGCTGTTCAGTGTATCCTCTCTATTGCATCTTTAGGACGTAATATTTTGCTGAAATTGGACATTTAATTTCGACAATAAATTATTACCTATGAGTTTATCAGCTGTTGCAGCTAAAAAAGGATATTTCTGATGAACAAACATTCCTGGCAGGCAAATATCTAAAGCAAGCATTTCGCTTAGTCCTTCTACTGCAATGGATTCTTTTTCTATTCCATAGGCTGTGAATTTATTTCCTTTAAAAGAATTTAAAAAAATATGTTAGGCAACCTTTCTCTTGCCGATTGTTACCTTTAATTTACAAATCCGTCCAAAATTCGAGACTGTCTAACTTTTACTTATTTCTGTATATCATTTACTTAAATTGCGTTGAGTTATGTTATTGAATAAATTAAATAAGTTCCTCGTTATTCTTATGAAGTTCCGATAGAATTTTTTCTTTAATTTTATCTATTCATCATGATCAATTTCTAACGTTTTTTATACTTGTGACCCTTAATCTAATCTTCATCTGGAGCATGGTTCTTTGTTATATTTTTGCAACTCTTTGTAATCTAATTTTCTTCGGAATGTATTTTTGGTGCATTTCGAATGTTTTTATTAGTCCTAATTTATTTTCTTTATTCTAATTTATTAAAACTCACGATAATTTATCAAAAGTCTTTATTTTATACTAATTTATTTTACACTTAATAATTACAAATAATTTATTTGCGTTCGATATAATTTTAACCCGATATCCGCGACCTTCTTTTTGCCTAACTGCTCAATGAAAATCTTCCGTTAATTATTTGA